CTAACATCTCTTTGGGAATCGCCTCGCAGGTTCAAAAACACACATTTCCATGTGCCAAACTGTGTTATGTTGGCATTATTTGTACAGTTGACTAAAGCTGAGGGAACTAATCGTGTGCTGCTCAAAACAAAGTGCAGAAAGACCCATTTTCATCTTGTTGGGGGGTTGTTTGGCTAAGATTTCTATATGTAGACACATTACTGTTTCACACTTTGACTTAGATTCATTGTTATGCTTGAGTGAATCATAAGTGAGTGTTAAGTGGATTCATGAATAAAACATACAAGAGTTTAATGATAGCCAGGTGAAAAGATGATCAGACTTGCTGCAAAATGATTGTTTAAGACTTTAAAATATAATAAATTACACTTTTCTACAGTACTTTTATTCACACGTACCCAATATAACACATATTAGAACATGACAGCTTCATTAAATGTGAGTGTTTAGTTGATGATATTTCCTCACAATCATTTATAAGAACCTTTCTAATTGGATGCCAGCTAACCTCAGCCAAGGCTGTAACTGTAGCAGCAGGAGCGTCTGTTTTTACTAAGTTAGTTTGTGTTTGAAGGTCAGATCGTTTTTAATGTACAGCAGGCATAAAATCTCTGCTCCAGCTAAACCTTCTGTGTACGTGCAGAATAAAGATGCACCAGGGTCAGCTAATTATAAAAGACACGGTGTAAAGTAATGCTTATTTATCCTGTTTAAGTCCTGCTAAGAAATTGCATATTTTAGAGAGTTAAGATGGCAACTTAGGAACAAATTAAGAAGAGTCATGTAAAAGTTTCACCTTCAACATCAATCGTACCATTGGCTTGTGCAGAAGTTGAAACTTGTATCTGCTGATTTTGTTTACAGCATTTATACAAAACAGTAAATGTTGGATAAGTGGGTTGGGATTAAATAAATGCACTGATAGCTCAGAAAAAATCAGGAGCCTAAACTCACTGTGACATGTTTATTGTCCCAAGAGGGAAAATACACCAAAAAAGTGTAGTAGAAGTGTAAAAGTGTAGTAGAAGTTTTTTACCCTGTTCAGGTATTTGTTGTTTTGCGGGGGGGGGGGGGGGGGGGGGGACATGGATTTTGAAGAAATAGCTGAAATCTACATTAATTATTGTCATTTTGCTTTAAAATAAGATGAAAACTCACAGTTTCTCCTGGTTGAATCAACGTTCAAAACAAATGTTGTAAACCCAAGTTTAAAAAATTCTATAGCTGCAGATTATTCATCATTACTGTAGGCTGTGTGCACTGTATGCATCTTTTCAGTCAAAATGTTGCTCAGCCCTGAAGCAATTGTTTATTTTTATTTTATTGTGAAGCAGAAATTCAGAGTTTTTTCTCAGAGGGTGCCATTCAGAGGTGGAATCACTCCCTTAAGCCCTTTTACCTGTTTCTGTGTTCAGCTGGAAGCTATGTGCACCTCTAGTCAGCCAACAACACATTGTTTTACAATTATTATTCACATGTCATATACAAATGTGTGTGTGTGTGTGTGTGTGTGTGTGTGTGTGTGTGTGTGTGTGTGTGTGTGTGTGTGTGTGTGTGTGTGTGTGTGTGTGTGTGTGTGTGTGTGTGTGTGTGTGTGTGTGTGTGTGTGTGTGTGTGTGTGTGTGTGTGTGTGTGTGTCATGCGCAGGTCAAGGTATTCCTCATGCTCGGTGACGGACATCTGTACAAAAGCAATTATCTAACGCTGTTGGCTAATGCTGAGCTGTACTCAATTCAAATAAATGGGGTTCTATGGGATGGGGGCAGGCTTAACAACAAAAAAATGTACATAATTTCTATGTTATATCCCAGTGCAAGGTCAGACTATCACTTTTATTGATTTCTAAAAAAAACAAAATCACTCATAATTCCTGAAAGGGGGCAAACTCTGAATTGCTACTTTAAGCAATAATATAATTTTCAATAAACGAGAACTCAGTGAGCGAGAGGTTTTAATAGAAAACATCTGATCTGTTCATTTGCCTGTAGTTTGCTGCTGAAATCCTTTGCATTGTTATGATAGTCTTCATGTTTGTTTTAACTGTTGGATTCCTGTTGATGCAACATTTTGGATAGATTATCTCTTCTTTAAGTCTTTGTTCATATGCTTTGATATCTCAAACCTTTCAGTTTAAAGACTAGCCAGTAGCATTCTGAATCACACAACAAAGCTAACAAGCTTATTAAACAAGGGTGCAATATTAACACTAAGAGTTTTACTAGAACTCAAAACCCTTACCTCAGTGTTTCCCAGTGAGAACTTTGGGTACCACATCATTAATGGAGTGTTTTATTACAAAGGAAGGTCTTTAATCTTTTCTTCCATCAGAACATAAGACAGAAATTCATTTCTGCTATGATTCAACACTGATTCATTTTTGTGACAAAGCTTTAATTCTAGTAAATGTTATTATATATCAGTGGAATAAAGGCTAAATGAAGTAAAATATTTTACCTATGGGCAAATGCATCCAACATCTTTTCACAAGTTGCCTTTCACATAGAAATCCTGTTTGCAAAGTGTCATTTCAAAAGTGCTCAGGTCTTTTATATTTGATTGAACCCTTTGAATCATTTCATGTTCTATGTTCACATTTTCATATAACAGAATATAAAAGACATATTTATTTCTCTAAACTAAACAATTTCCTTTTATGAGTTCTGGATACGTGAGCTATGATGCATGTCTATGCTTCAAACATGCAAGCGAGTGTCGTGCACACAAGTCAGAGGTGTGCATGCACCTCCTGTGGGACAACGCCAGCATGCAGCATTAACACGACAGTCCCTGAGAGGATAAGGAGGTAGCAAAGCTGTCAGTGGCCAGCTCCCACTCCGCTTAATGAGAGAGTGGTCCTTTAATTAAAAACACCAACAGGCTGAGCTCCCCAGTGTCCCACCACCAGGATGACCTGGGGTTAAAGACTGGGAGCAGAGAGGATGGAAGGCGTGCTGCTTCCACATACAGTCCATAGTGCTACTCTAAGGAATAAAGAACCCAGATACCTAAGATGAGTTCTGCTTTTGCCCACTGTTAGTCTAAAGGGAAGGGTTTAGGTGTATTTAATGCTCCCAGAACAAACTGTGGTGCTTCTGCATCTTTGTGCAGCAGAAAACAGTTGGTGGGAGTCAGCATGTTGATATCTGTTACTAAAGGGGAAAAGAATCTTTTTAGAGATTAGGTTTTGGAGGTTGGTACAAAGTTCTGATTGCTGTGCAACTCTGATCTGCTGAAACAGATTTCGCCCAACTCTGATTTCACTGGAAAAATATTACAAACAATAAAATACAACCTTAAGAATTTTCATTGTTGAAATCTAAACTCTAGCATGGAGGACGATTAGCGATGTCGGATTGACGAACCTGAAAAAATGTTACATTTGTAACTGCTGCTTGGCCAGGGTGTGTTTGTAGGGCTACTGAAGAGGATTGGGGCCACAGAAAAGAAAAGAAAAACATTTCTGACTTTTTTTCTCAGAAGTCAAAAATCCAAATTCTGAAAGTCAGAATTCTGAGAATCATGTCAGAATTATTTTTTCTTTTTTACAGCAATCCTAATCTTTTGTAGCTGACCAGATCTGCAGGTCTTTAATTGGACCAATGATGCAGAATTTTGGCTGGTTTACTGTGGATTTTTTTAATGCCTCTCTGTAGCCGGCATTAGCTACATGTGCTAAACATAACAAACACTAAATTCTCACATTGGCAATATTTTTGGGGTGTTTTAAATAAAGTTAACAAACGTTTGCATCTCACTGTATACTTTATTGCAAATTTCCTTTGGTGTGGACATTAAAGGGTTTGATGCTCTGCATGAACAACTCTTACTAGAGCTGTTTTAACGTTTGCAGAATAATTATCCCGTGTTGGATTACATTTCTTTGACAGAAGCTAATGGAAGTTAGTTTAAATAAATTATGTGTGTGTGTGTGCGTGCGTGCGTGCGTGTGTGTGTGTGTGTGTGTGTGTGTGTGTGTGTGTGTGTGTGTGTGTGTGTGTGTGTGTGTGTGTGTGTGTGTGTGTGTGTGTGTGTGTGTGTGTGTGTGAGGATGGAATGAATTGGGGGATGAGGGGAAACAAGCTTAACACCTGGTGTTGTAACACAGCCGCCTTTCGCGTGGTTGTCTTTGTACGTTGCTTTATTAAACTGTCTAACACTCGAATCATTAGCCTTGATCTGCTGATTGACAGCTTGTCAGCTCTGACAGCAGCGTGTGCCTCGCTGTCAACGGGGGGTGGCGAGGAAACAGCTTCCGCATTCCCCCATGGCTTTGTCATCTTTTGCATCTTCCTCCTTCCCCCTCCCACATGTCAACCCAGGTGCTAACAAAACGGAGGATTGTGGGTAGTCTTGGAGCATCTGGAGTAGGGAGGGATGGAGCAATGAAGGGAGGAGAGGGTTTCTAAAGCTGTCAGCCTGCCTATCCCTGTCACAACTGCCAGGAGAGTGCGATGGACAAATGGATAACTGCTATTTCAGACTGCCAGGATGAAAGCTTCGTCAGATTTGATGTGTCGATTCGAGCTAAACCGTTCTCGCACATACACACACACACACAGTGCACAAACCGTCATGCACTGATGGAGTTTTCGGTCCCACTTGTTCCACTTTTGAAATTTGTACACACAGAAACATTCTGTTTGTTGAGTCATTAAAATGAAGTTAACAAACAAACAAATGAGAATTCTCTGTGCGTCTGTGTGGACAGGGCTCCAGAGCTCTGGCTGCAGGCCTTCGTGTGTGTGTGTGTGTGTGTGTGTGTGTGTGTGTGTGTGTGTGTGTGTGTGTGTGTGTGTGTGTGTGTGTGTGTGTGTGTGTGTGTGTGTGTGTGCGTGCGTGTGTGTGTGTGTGTGTGTGTGTGTGTGTGTGTGTGCATGTGCTATATTTGATTATATCCTGATCATCCCTGCAGCTGTCTGCCTTAGCTGTCTCTCCTTGTCTGTCCCCATTTCACATAACATAATCATGTCTCTCTGTTCTTCCTTTTCCTGTCCTTTCAGGCTGTGCCTTCCTCACCTACTGTGCCAGAGAGTCGGCCCTGAAAGCCCAGAATGCGCTGCATGAGCAGAAGACCCTGCCAGGAGTAAGTCATACACAGAACAACGTCGCACAAACACATCTCAGACTCTCTCAGTGACAAATAATGCTTATTCAAGAAAATAAATATTTCGATTCAAGATGGAATCTCCATCTTTGCTGATCACGCTCCAGATGTGAGCACAGCTCTTCTTTCGCTACACTGACTCCCTCTCCCTTCACTTTGACAGTCACATCCACACAAAGCCATGGGGAGAAACCACACAGCATCACATCATAGGTGTACTATTTATAGTCCTCCCTTCAGTTTGTGTAAATGAGTGTGTGCTTGTGTGTGTGTGTGTGTGTGTGTGTGTGTGTGTGTGTGTGTGTGTGTGTGTGTGTGTGTGTGTGTGTGTGTGTGTGTGTGTGTGTGTGTGTGTGTGTGTGTGTGTGTGTGTGTGTGTGTGTGCAAACATCTGAGATAGGCAGAAAGGGAGGAGAAGTGGGTGGGCGGATGGATGCAGGCTCCTTCTACACTTATGTGCACGCTCTGCACTGTGACGCAAACAAGTGTGCACCATGAATGTATCACAGCTCTGCACATGTGCACAACAGATGTTCACATGCTGTGGATGTTATTAGGCTCATGTACAGTGCAGCTGGATGCAAAGCTCTCATTCATCTGTGATTGGCATAGTTCTGTCAGAAAGGAGAAGCAGGTTTTCATTCATGAGAAGAAGGTGAGTTGGAAGGATCTGCTGTGATTTTTGCTTTTTTTTAGCATATAAAAATAAATAAATTGATGATTTTATATTTGTGCAGTGCTTGTGCTTTAATTGTTTTTTATTTAACCATGTGCATGCACCTGAAGGAGGTGCGCACGCCCGCTCCATTCGGATGGAAGTTTTGATGCATTTCTGTCAGGCCTGGCTCGGTTTGCTCTGTTCGTTTTTAATGACGCCTCCAGGGAACCTGACAGTCGTCGTGTTGAGCGCACAGCCTTTGATGTGAGTGATTATGACATCACAGACGTGCAGCCAAGAAGAGCTGAGGAGTGGGGATCCGTGCTCTACGTTATTATTTTTTCCGCACTTCCCAATGGCATATTATTCAGAGAAAGAAGGGAAGGAGAGACAGAGAAACAGAAAGAGAGGATGAGAGATTAAATATTTGGCCAAACCCAGAATGCGATTGTCTGTTCTCATAAAGTGTGCCACCGGTTTGAGTTCCTGTCACTGATGTTTTTGTTTGAATATTTGCAACACAAGAAATCAGTACTTTATAAAGTTACACCTTATTTAAGGGAAGCTGATTTGCAAATGCTTAAACAGGAAGTATCAGTGACCTACAGACAATCTGCTTGTTCATAAGCGATGTCTTTGCCATCAGAGGACAGTCTGAGGTTTGCAGGTGATAAATGAAAACAATGTGAATATTTTCGGACAGACCAAGATGCTAAACAAACCTTGAAGTGGAGCTTTTGTTGCTGCTAGAGGTAAAACCAGCAAACAGCACAAATGAGTTCATTAGAAACAGAACAAGGACTTGGCCCTGGAAAAAACAGTGGGACATTTTATGGCACATAATTGCACCCCTCACCCACACCATCCTTCTCCAATCTCTATCAATCCTTCGCTCACGAGCAAATAAAATCCTTTTTTCTTTTCTTTCTTTGTTCTTTTAAAGCTGTTTCCTTCTCCCTTCATGTCTTGGTGCACTTTCATCATCAAAGATGCTCACCACTCCCTTAAAATAAATTTTCCACCAACCTTCTAACTTTGGCTGCCAGGTGAGCCGAGAGAAAAGAGGGATTTTTGCTTCCTAGTGGAAATGCCTGGTAAGCATGGCTGCTGGCTGTTGGTGGAGACAGACAAAATACCAAGGGCTGCCTTGTGAGAATGTGTGTGAGTGCATGTGAGCAGCTGAGCGTCTGCAATGTCAGGAGAGATTTGGGATAAACAAGTGATGAACAAAACTACTGATGCCAAAGCAGCGCTGATGTTGGAATGTTTGCGGCAAACAAAAAGACAAATTGTTTTTCTACTCTTCGTTGTGTCCTAGCTCTAGAACCCACAGGTCTGCTATATGATGTGGAAAGTGTTTCTGCTAGTGGAAGGAAAGGTTTTGACTACATAGGTGCTGTGTTAGCGTGACCCTAATGGTGTGATGGAATTGTAGCCAGTGAGACAAGTCCTTTAAATTCTTGATGATCAACTACTGGTGTGCATGTGCTCCATATTATGGATATGCTGCCACCGTACCACGTGTACCACAACCTCAAGACGGGTTTCATATTGGAGTCTTCATCTTATGTGAAAGTGGACAAATAGGCTTCATGCACATGACCCCATTTTGACATTTCCTAACTTTTTAGTCAGCTAATCACTTTGAGTCATAGAAACGTTAATGTTCTCATTTTTAACTCGACCACTGCAGGACCTGCACAGGAAAATCCAGGCCATGCCTAAGATGCCAAAATCAAATAAAGTGTATTTGTCTACCTACATTCATAACTATGAAGGAATGAAGAAACCTTTATTTGTAAAGCACCTTCTTAAGGTTCTACAACCCCTGAAAGGCACTTCAAAACTCGATCAGTCATTCACCTATTTACACGCTGGTGATGAGCTACAATGTAGCCACAGCCGCCCTACTGCGCACTGTCAGAGGCGAGGCCTGTTGAACACTGGCACTAGTCGTCCCTCCGACCACCACCAAGGTGGGTTGTGTGCCTTGCCCAGGGACACAACTGCAGCATTCACTGGTCAGAGCCAGGGTCAAACTAGCACAATGAGAAAGCAACATTAACTTTGCTATCAGAGTGATAGGTTCACATCCTGGTACTCTTGGGTTTTTTATTTTTTGTTGATATTCCTCTCCTTACGTTCTTAGCATTGCTTGTTCAAAGACAACCTTTCCGTATTTGAAATAATTTTTTTTTAGCTAGTACGTGCTAAAATAACCCTTCACAGGGTAAATGAAATGTCACTCAGACCCTCACCATCCTCTGTAGCCAGAATATGGCACTTTCAACTTCAGAGTGCCGGTTCGGTCCATGTTACTAAAGTGGAGCTGAAATGCCTGGCACTGCAGTCTGCCTCCAGCATGTTTCCTGCATGTTTTAGATCATGAACACAGCTGATTTGTTTGACTGAGCAATGAATCACTCCTGTAGAAACTAATGAAGGCTGAGGAAACATTTTAGCTATGAGATTAAGGTGTTAAAAAGATGAACACACAGCAAGATAAGTTTTACTTTCAGTTTTACTAAATGGACACTAGGTGGTGGGGGGGCAAGTCAAAACTGCCCAGTCTCCCCCTTAATACCTTTGTTTTTATTTTGCCATCTTAGATGAGGCCTGTGTGTGTTGTTGATCATTATCTTGTTCAGGTCCCACAGAGATTACATAAAAAAAACAACTGAGAGAATGTTATCATTATTGCGAGAAGGAAGGGCTTCAGCTGGCTAAAAAGTCAGAAAGCGTCAAACCGAGGGTCTGTGACACAGCTTATTTCCATTTTTGTGATTTTGCTTTTAAAACTCCAGTAAGAAGCATTAAATTATCCTCTATTGATTCTCGAGAGACGTTCTCCCAAGTGGGCGGGTGTGTACTTGTGTGGGTCACAGAGGGGAGTTGTAACACTAGCAAGTGATGCAGTGATTCCTCCCGCACACACAAACATTGAATTGTGCATACGGAACCAAAATAAGGTAGGAAAATAAAAATAAGAACGATCTGGCATCCTCTCAAACACGTGTATCGTGCAGGTCAGAGAACTCACTCATACCCCTGTTCTTCACACAGCCTACACTCCTCAATCCAAGTTAGCAAACACACAGGTACAGCACAAAATACATCACTGATGCTCCTCGAACACTCATATTCCTCACCCGGCACTTGTAACTGCAACACAACACTCCTCGTAAACGCTCCCATTCAACAACATGATACCGTGATTGACATAGAAAAAGAACGACAGCCACAGAAAGAGGGAGAGCGGGAAAGAGAGAGAGTCAGGGAAGGAAAGCAATATGGCGTTGATTGACTTTCACTGTAATAGTGAGCCAGATGAGAAATATAGAACACTGTGAATCGATGCGTCATTTTCAGAGTGCTTTCATGCACACACGCTTATACACACATACCCAGTGTTTTGGGCCTGGGGGCAAACAAACTAAAGAAAAGACAGGACAGCAAATGAACAGCAAGAGAGAAGAAAGTGGAAGGCGTGTTTGAAGGCAGACTGAGGAGAGTGGGAGGATGGAGGGAGTGGGAAGAGAGGTGCAGCCGAGTTGCCTCCACACCGACTCATTTGTGTCTGTTTCTTTTTAAACCCCCCTCCATCCACACCCTTCACTCAGCTGAGATAATGCCAGGGCAAGAAATCCATGGCATTGATTGCAATCCTGTGACCCAGTTTCGTGGCAGCTTTTTCTCAATAAGTCGCCCTCATTCGTCAGTAATTGCCAGGCTTCCCAGGTGAAGTGGGTGAAGAGGTGTTTGGGTGGGGGAGGAGGGGGATTAGATAGTTATGATTTGTTTCCCCGAAGCGAGCAAAAGCACAGCAGATCACTCCTTACTTGTGGGTTTTAGATTAGTTGTGCCATGTTCAGGAGACATGGCTTCACGTCGATGTGACTAATGCCTCCGACGGGGCAGCCTCTCCTCCTCTTTCCCCAAGCCATCACCTCATCAACCATCCTAATCACCCTTATCCAACAGAAAACTATCCGCCACATAATGTGTTCCACCTAATGAATACACAATCACTGACAGAATGCTGAAGTGGACCACAAGCAAGTTTTAGCTAAAGCAGCTCCAACTTTCAAAATCAATGAGTGGCTACATTTCACCAAGACATGCAAATGTTTCTTGTTGGGGTTTTTTTTCCTCAAGATTTAAAGAGCAACTTATTTTAGTCTTCTAATAAAAAGAGAAATATTGCAAGGATTAGCAGAAGTCTGGGAAACAAAAAGAATTAACAGTGTTTGTGTCCAAACTGCTTCTAAGTGAGGCACTTTGCAGGATGAATCTGGCAGGTCATAAGCCTGCAATAAAAATT